ATATATAACTCACCACGTTGGAAAATATTGTAAGGAAAGGATTCGGCGGCAATAATGGTAAACGAATAGTATAACTAAAGTGAATTTTCAAGCTAAGTGATTTTAGCCAAACAAATTAAAATACTCTTAGTGGAAAGGAAATTGATAGCGTAGATTTATGAAATAATCCGCCTATTCTATTCCTTTTTTTCCTAAATAACAAAAAGTATAGTTATAGCTGTGTCATAATTAAATTAAATAATTTATGTAAGGTAAATTTTAGTTAATATTAAAGTTATTTTCTACAGAATTCAAATAAGAAAAGATATAATAAATAAAATTTTAGTTGATTTAGAAGTCCTAAATATTAGGAAGATAAGCAAATTATTATTTAGTTCAGTATAAATATATTTTTAAAGAGTAAAAAAGGCGAACGACATTATATAAATATTATACAAATTGATAAAGAGAATAATATATTGTTCGAGTAGGAAAAAGTTCAAAAATAATTCGCATCTTCTATACTATTTTAAAAGCATGAAATCTCAACAAATAATTAAGTCTTTGCATTAATAAATTAGCAAAAAAAAAATCAATTCAATATTTTTCAAAATCATTATGTAAGTAAAATTATTTGTCAAGTTGATAAAACTTTTAAGGTACATAAATTTATTTTCATTAGAACGGTCGTGAAAGAAATAAGAAAATAGAGCAAAATCCATTATAATATAGTATTAAAAATTAAATTTGCTAAACATGCTAAGTTAAAGCATTAAGGATGTAACATAAGACAAAAGGTATTCAAAAGAAGTGTCGTTATCATTTTTCTTTATTTTTATATTTATTCCAATAAATGATAATTTCTTATATTTTTCAATATAGTATTATATATTTTTGTAATTCAGTATTAGTTACTTAAAACTTTTATGGTTATTTATTAATATTTTTCTACGAGGAGTTCTACCTCATCACTCACAAATTTCTACTATACTAAAAGATTCAAATTTTTCAATTTGTTTTGTTATCTTTAAATAATTGTGGTAAAAGTATTTTTGTGTTATTTGCTTATAGTATTTGGTAACAAAGATAACAATAATTTTCACAAGATATTTCACACCTCATAAATCATAGTAAGGGCATATAAAACTTACGTGGAGTATGATTTCTTTGTTTTATTGAGCTAGCTTAGTGAGATTAACATTCGTTATTTTAAGAACTTATATTTTTTCCTTTAATATTTTTTCAGTAACGAAAAATACATTATTTAATAATATTTACTTAATTTTTAAAATTTGTATATTCATTGACACGTGTAGGACACGCGCAATGCGAGTACCCTAAGACTAGTATATATATATATATGTGTGTGTGTGTGTGTGTGTGTGTGTGTGTGTGTTATATTATAAAAAATTTATACACTTTTGCGGCTATCGAATATAAATAGTTTTGGTCACAGTCTAAACGTAATCTTTACCCTCAATATTTTCATTAAGGGATTTTTTACCTATATATACTACATTAGAAACTTATTTACCCTCACTGTTTAGGATTTAACTTAATTATAAGTTGATATACAATTTACCAATTATATACAAACTAGTATTAATGAGAATCCTATTATATTAGGAATTGAATAGGGAATTCCTTCTTTGCTCTTTCTTTGTGTCTCTCTTTCTTGCATTCTCTATCAGTATTCTTATATAAATATCTTCATGTGGATTAACTGAAGAAATAATACTAATGTTAAGTGAAAAAAAAGAGACAAGATTAGTACCTAGCAAAGTTCTTGCTTCAGATCCTATGAAAACGAGAAAGTAAGTAAGAAAGAAATTAGCTCAGATGAAGAGAATCATTTTAGTTATCATTCTTTTAGCCTTTTGGAATCAATAAACAACATAGTATTAAAGCGAGTAGATTCAATTGGAAACTATGTTAATCCATTAAAAACTTCATTGATAGTCATTATAAAGCTTCAAAACTTTTAATTGAAAATAGAATTTTATGAAATTATATTTTATTTGGATTAGGTGTTGTTGCAAATGATTGGGAATATCCATTGGAGTTTATATCTCAAATTTGAGACAATTTGAAGATTCGAGATGGTTTTGGTTGAAATTTCAGATTGAGACTCGAAAACGTAGACATGAACAAATTGTATATATTTTTTATGTCGAATGTAGAAACGGTATACAAAATGTCTACAACTTACATTTGCATATGAGTTGTATACAAATTGTAGTTTTTGATTGGATTCTGTACAAAAAAATATATTTATGTTGTAGATAAATTGTAGATTTTGACCGAATTTGTATATATTTTATAAAAACTTTTGTTACTTCCCGTAAATATGAAAACTTAGACAAAATGGGGTAAATATATTTAAAATCTTGTATATATACGGAAAAAGTCCCTTTCGAAAGACATGGAGGGCCTCTCAAGGGAAAGGCCCCAGGCCTAAACATCCTCTAATAGGCAAACAGGAAGGGGCATTTGCATCTATACTCGCTTTTTGAGTCACGTTTTAACTTGTGCCCGTTTTGCATAAAAAGATTGCAAGCGTACCCACTTTTTCGCATAACTTCAGCATGCGGGGCTGAAGTAGCAAAGGCAATCACGCAAAACTTCAGCATTCTAGTAGACAGACCTGAAGTAGCAAGTGTGCTGAAGTTTTTGTTTGTAATTGTTGAACTTAAGCATAGTAGCTGTAGTTTTGTTCTCTATTTGCTGAAGTTTTTGTTTGTAATTGTTAAACTTAAGCATAGTAGCTGAAGTTTTGTTTTCTATTTGCTGAAGCTTTTGTTCGTAATTGCACTAAATAAGCTGAAGTTTTTTTTTTGTCCCGGATTCATTAGTTTTGTCATTAAGCTTTTTCAAAAACTTCAGCAGAAGATGCTGACGTTATTTAGTTCATTGTAAAAACTTCAGCACTAAATAAGCTGAAGTTTTTTGTCTTGGATTCATTAGTTTTGTCATAAAGTTTTTTCAAAAACTTCAGCAGAAGATGCTGAAATTATTTAGTTCATTTGTAAAAACTCCAGCACTATATAAGCTGAAGTTTTTGAAAAAGCTTTCTAACATACTAGATAAATAATCACCTTATTCTTTCATAGCGATTACTACTATAAAATAATCAGATTGCCAACAATATCTAAATCATAAATTTTGGAAACAATAAACGTGAAAAGAACAGAATTACGTGAAAATATTTACAAATTATTGTCTACAAACTTACGTAATTATTTATAATTTTTTTTTAAATAATCTGATAAACATACTTATGACAATCATCCCATAAACTGAAGTTTTATAGCAGCACCAACAGCAGCAGAAGAAAGAAGCAAAAAAAAAAGAAGAAGAAGAAGAAGAAGAAGAAGAAGAAGAAAACAAAGGAGGAGAAGGAGGAGGAGAAAGGGGACTGAAGTTGTTTAAAAAGTGGGTACAAGTTAAAACTTTTTTAAAAAAATTGGTATAAATTAAATGGGGGACGCCCCGTGCAATTTTTACAAACAGAAAGCAGCATGTCAGGCCCAACGTACCAGAATTTCCAATTTCCAACCATTTCTTCTGGCGCTCATGGTAGCCGAATAAAATTTGAGATGCAAGCACGGCAATTGTGGCCTTATGAATTACAGTATACGAAAGGCGGTAAGGAATTGAATGGGAAAAAAATAATATTCTAACTAATGATCTCGCATCAAATTCCATTGTTTAATTAATTGTTTGTTGTTTTGCAAAATAATATGTAGGAAAATTGGACGATTTGCGTTCATTTTGCTCTAGTTTTGTAAATTTCCTACTATGTACTATGCTAAATAATTATGCTACGGCTATCACTTACTTTAACTCAACTGTGAACTTACTCATTCTTAGAAATCACAGCAAATTTCTTAAAATCACATTCTGCCTCAATAATATAATCGTAGTGGAAAAGAAGAAATCAAGAGCTAACTTAACTCTTTTTATCTAACATCACATTCTGCATGGCCAGAAAGAAACAGAATCAGTTGACTCTCGAACATCCTCAGATATGATACAATCTAGAAAAATTTGCGGCCATGGTAGCAAGATTTATGACTACCTTGTATCACACTCAGCAGTGAAGGTGTGCAGAGTTGCCCTAGACTATGTCCAACGGGTCCTTCATCTTGAAGTTTTTGGGGTCAATCTCTGTGTCAAGGCAGCTAAAGGAAGCAACTCTTTTGCAGCTGAATGTAGTAAAGCCAGGAATAACATCAAACAATGCTACTATTGTGTTCGATGCCGGCAGCTAGGCCAACAGAGGATGAGAGTGAATTCTGTCACCTCTTTGTTCTTATATGAGTGCTGCAGGGAAGGGGTCGAGGAGGTCGTGAAGCATTTTCAGCTAGCTGAAAAGAGTTATTTGTAAAATGTCATCACGTGGCAGAACAAAGATGCAATCCTTGTTCTGGCTCTCCGATAACGCTGCATTATCTCTTCCCATGCTATCGCCCCATTGATGGAGCTTTCCTAGCCTCAATCCTTAAATTAAGATAAACCATCAGCCAGAAAATAAGTACTTAATTGGGAATGCTTGCATGCAAACTTGCTAGTATCTCATAGTGTAATTGACACTGATTTTTTTAAACAGTAATTGGGAGAAGTATGATTAAATTGTACCATCACAAAGTTATCCTCTCTATCTATCTGCTCTATAAACACTCTGCATAATTTAATTGTTAAAGATATATTATTGTGGTTTGCTTATATTATCATTAATTATCTAATCACAAAGCACATAATAGTGACAACTCCCATATGAAGTGTTTGTTGCATCTACAAGTTCGCTTTCTTGATCGGTCATTTTGTAAACTTAAGGATGATTACAGGAAGGTGCTTTGACACTAAGGAGACATTGGATGCTTTAGAAAAAAAAGGCTATTAGCTCAAAACATGTTGCTAATGTATATTTTAATTATATGGTACATGGAATCTTGAAAAATTAGAAACATCTTCCATTAGTTAACTCTTACTATACATGTGATCCAAGTTTTTCCGGCTAAATGGGCGGATTTATAACAAAGAAAATGAAATATCTCTAAATTTGGTCCCCTCTCTGGTCCACAGGGCTAGGGTGGCTACAAAAAGCAATGGGATCTTATTTCTCATTGATTCTAACATACGAAGAGACAAAATTGAGGGTAGTCCTCCTAATTCAATAACTCACAAAATTCAACTTCTGATGTTGGCCTTGACCTAAGCATAATCATTAATTTATATGCAGTTTCCACAGTGCACATGTCAATTTTTTCTTTTCCCAACAAACAATTTGTTGAGAGTTTCAACGTGCAAGAAGATGGTGGTTTCAATTTCTGTATAAATACACCAATACGAAAGTATTACCTTCAAAATTGAGGAGTCCAAAAGTTGAAGAAAAATGGATAACCCAATTCCACCACTGACTAAAAAATTGCACGAGAAAATTGCCATTATTACCGGAGGAGCAAGCGGAATCGGCGAAGCCACCTCACGTCTCTTTGCTCAACATGGAGCTAAAGTTGTAATTGCTGACATCCAAGAAGAAAAGGGTCGGTCAGTAGCAGAATCCATCGGCTCCAATCACTGCATTTTCATCAAATGCGACGTCACGGACGAGCAACAGATCCAATCCTTGGTACAATCAACGGTGGAGATTCACGGTCGGGTCGATATCATGTTCAGCAATGCTGGAATTGCAAGCACCAACGACCACGAACAAGACATACTAGGTTTTAACCTCGATGCATTAGACAATCTATTCGCGATCAATGTTCGGGGATCGGTGGCGTGTGTGAAGCACGCGGCGAAGGCTATGGTGGAAGGTGGCGTGAAAGGGAAGATAATATGCACGGGGAGCGTGACCGCGACGATGGGAGTAACCAAGCAGATAGATTACGCAATGTCTAAGCACGCAATACTAGGATTGGTTAAATCTGCAAGTAAAGGACTGGGTAAGTACGGCATACGCGTAAACTGTGTTTCTCCTGCGGCAGTGGCAACACCTTTGCTAGAGAAATCAATGAAGATGAGTGTGGAGGAGATAGAGAAGCTGTTTGATTCCTTCAATTGCTTGAAAACTGGGGCGGCTATAAAAGCTTCTAATGTAGCAGATGCAGTCTTGTTTTTGGCTTCGGACGACTCACTGTTTGTCACCGGCCATAATTTGGTTGTAGATGGAGGTTTTCATCCTCCTGCGTGATTCTTGCTCGGGCTCTAGTGGTGGTTTTCATGCCAGTTTAACTTCGGGCTTAGATTTCCTCTTGTATCTTTGTTTGGGCTCATGGGCTTGGGTTTGTAAATCTGCGTATTCCAAAATAAGAGAAAGTGAATATGGTATTTTTTTTTTATTATTATTATTATTGAATATGCTTCGAGATCCTCACGGAGCGGTATTCAAATTAAGACTACAATCATACAGATTCCATACATACTTCAATATTGGACTGGTCCTTGAATAGTTTAAAATGATGTGGTGGCCAAGATATGTTTCTCCAGTAACAGCTAGATGAGGATGTAACAGTTCAGAAATTTAAGCTAAAAGTGATGTCCTTCTAGGGGCAGCGTGGTGACCAAAATTATACAATTCCGATCGAAGCAGTGTAAGTTCAAATTTAGTTCAATTGAGTTTCCTCTCCTTTTCCTTCTATTTAAACTAAAAAGACCTCCTGTATGACCCATAAATTAGATTTAGGTTTTTATACAATTAGATTTATAGAAAAATAGGGTTAAACATAGTCAATATCAATATTTCAATAGCACATCTAGCACTTTTAGGGCGAATATTTAATATGTAGTACTCCCTCCGGTCCACAATAAGTGACCAATTTGCTCTAAGCACGCCCATTAAGAAAATATTAAATTCTATACAAAAATACCTAGCATGACTAAACTACCCTTAATTAAATATTTAATGTGAGGAGTAAGAAAACTTTTTAGGGATACGTACATAAAAGTAATTTTGTAAAAACAAATTGAATTTTTTCTTGATTATATAAATTGACACTTATTTTGGACCAAAATAAAAAAGTAAATTGATTACTTATTGTTGACCGGAGGGAGTATTAGACAATATTATCTTAAAACACCGATGAGCAATAAAAGCTTATAAACTTCAAAGGCAGTCATGAATGATAACAAAGGGTTTTTGAGTAATAAGGGAGATAAAGTTCACATGGCAAGGATGAGATTTCCCAATATGCTTTCTGACACTGATGGATTGTGATAAGCAGTTGAGTGTTCCGATTCTTCTTGGATCGAGAGAGAAAGGTAAAAGAAAAGAAGCGTAAAGTTAGGCTTTGATTCTATTCAATAAAGAGAAATCTTGCACAAAGAATGTCAATGATATCCTTAAAAAAAATGTTTGATCCCCTTCTTGAACTACATCTCTTCCTATTTATAAGGATACATGGTCACAAGTCCTAGATAGTAAAACAGAAAAGAATATCCGTTAGAATATCCCTAGGGAATCCAAATCCTATGATGGTCGTCACTTCGTACTGAAAGCGGGTGCTCGCCTTTGTCCTCATTTTCTGCCAAGCCATCTCGACCTCGACTACTATTCATCTTTCTTGCCTGACTTCGACGTTTTAGGGTCAGGCTGACTCATCACAACGTTCAAAGGCTTTATCGACGTTGACAGGGTCAAACACATAAAATGAAGTTTTTTGCCCATACAGTTAGTCTCTCTGCTTGTTGAGGTAGACGTACCGGACGGGCTTGATAAGTGAATATCAAATTATCAATGGTCATGATCGTGGTCAGAGGCGGATGATATGGCATTACGGGAGCCACGTATTTTAGACTCTTGTCGCCTTGATTTTTCCGGGTGATCTTCGGGGAGAAAACTGACGTAGATAGGACGTAACATCATTCGTCATGATGACGTTGGTTCTCGATGCATCGCGTTAAGACATGTGTAGCTTGTGGATTGAGTTTGTCGTTTCTCCTGCGGCTGCAATCATGACGGAGTCGCTTCGAATCCCAAGGTCCCTCCTTTAAAATGAGGGATGATCACCGCAATTCAAACTCTTTCTTTACTTCCATTGCTTCAGTTTTCTTCATCTCCCTTTCAGACCTTCATTCCTAAAGTTTTCCTCTATTTTCTCATCTTTTTCCCTTCATAAATTCCCCAAATTTAACAATCATGTCTAACACACCTTCTGATATTCGTGATGGAAAAGTTTCTAGCACAAATGTAGAGATTCAGGCTACTCTACTAGCGGTTGTGGCCTCCGTTTATGGAGGAGATGCCTCCACCGCCGTTAAAGCAGAGGTTCTTTAATCAGTAGAAGAAATTATTCCTCGCAGCCCCGACGTGAAATCAAACTTTCAACGGCAGTTGGAGGCGGTGGCAGAGGTTTTCTAATCTTCTTTAATGGCTAAACGATTGGCAAGGACGAATTGTATACCTACCCTCTAGTTTACTACACCCTTTACGCCTACCCCTTCACCATCGGTTATTCTCTTCCTCTTTCCCCTTTGGTGAAGGAGTTTTTCCGCCACTACCGGATCTGCCAACTCAACTTGTGCCCTTGGTTTACAAGGTGGTCAAGATGTTATCTAAATTCGCAGAGCTGACCAATGTCGAGATTACTCTATGACATTGTACATCTGTTCATGCCAACTTTCTATCATGGCACGATGTTGAACACTCGCCATCGTGGAAGCAAATCACTGGTCATCAAGATGGATGACAAGGGTAGTCGACAATTTTGGCTCGAATTCTTTTCGTCAAGACCAAGTTCGTAGTGTCCGACGCCACAAACTTTCTAGAGGCTTGGAACCACGCTCGTAAGTGCTTTTCTTGCCTGCGTTTCTTCATACGATTGTGAGTTTTAACTCTGTGGAATAAATTTTCTTGTTTTGAAGCTACCTCACGGAGCCTCCAGTTGGTAACACACCTCCCAATTAGGTTAAGAGGGTCCTTCATTGACTGCGGGGATCCGTGATTGGTCGAGTTGTTAGCATAAGTACAAACCAGCTCTCCCTCCGAAAAGTAATGTCATTTTTTAGATGGTGTTGTGGTTGTATTCGCCCTATTATTGTGCTCATTTTTATATTTCTTTCCGGGCCACGCCAAGGAGGTTGCTAAAGGGAATTTGGCGCTGACGCCTTCTTTCAAGAGAATGAGGAGTGTCGTTTCCTCTACTCTTACGCCCATTTAGACCACTATGTCAATTCTTTATTTGGCTCCCCCTTGTGTTTAAGACGAGGAGGTTTCTCCGCGTGACACAGACCTGAGTCCTAGGAAGAGGAAGGTCATAGATGGGAGAGATGGTGTTCCAGTAGCAGTTGACCTATCGGAAGTCTCCCCTGAGGTCGTGGTGCAAGATATCGTGGTGACATTGGTCTAGGAAGGTGTAGGGACAACCTCATCAGCGCCTAGGTTAGAGGAATTCGATGTTGCTGCTTCTCTTTGACCCGAAGGGGATGAGGTCGCTATGAATACTGCTAATGATAGTCCCGCAAGTCCTGGGTATAGGGATATTTCATCTTTTGGACCAGTTTTGGAAGCTTCACCTACTAACAAGAGGAAATACAAGATGCCCGCCGAGTAGGACAAGAAGCGGGTTAAGCTTTTTCGCGATAAATCTGATTTCGACTTTAAACCTGAAGATCATGAGATGATTGATAGTGGGACAACTCAAATTGAAGTCAAAGTGGAAGGGGGGTCGCGGACTATCACGATCCCAGTACGTGGTTCAGGCATTTGGCCCCATCTGCTCTGTTGTCGAGCACCAAACTCTCAAAGAGCTTAGTGACAGTAGTCTTTCCAAGGGGCATCGCCGGCCTTGTTCCCCTCGTATGATACATATTCCTATGGGGTCGGGAACTTAATGACTTGGTACATGTTGGAGGGGACTGCCCTCATGGGGAGTATCCATAGTCGACCTATGATGGCGTTATACGTCATGTCCTGATCCATGATGTGGAATGTAGTCTCCAGTGTTACCCCGCCGGCGAGGACAGGGAGTGCGATCTCGCCCGAAGTTCATCAACTACATTGTTATAACTAAGTATAATGTAGCGCGAAACTAAAACCAGATAATGCATGCTCCGCTTTCATTTTCCACCATAATGCTCTTAATATCAGTATCAAGAATTCGTAAAGTAATGACAGGTCCATCATTACGAGGGAAAGTCAAACCGTAGACATCTGACTCATCGAAGATGATACTCTCTTCTATGCCGTCATATCATTTGTGGGTGATCAATCTCTTAAGTTTGTGAGTGGTGGTGAACTTAATGCCATTGATGGAGGCGTTGTCACTACCCCTAATAATCATGTTGATGATGCGAGCAGGAGAGGGCGGCTTTGGTGGGACTGGACGTTTTCGGCCCTTTGCTAAGGTGTTCCTGCCTTTGTCACTAAGCAACTCTTTGCGGTGTCCTTGTTGCAGCAGGTTCTCCACTTCTAACCTTAGAGCGTGGCAGTCTCCCGTCTTATGTCCACGGGCTTAGTGGAACTCATAGAACTCGTTTGACATCATGGTGCTTGGGTCAGACCTCATCTTTAGTGTCCATTCACCTTTGGTCCGAGCTTCTCGAGTGCGTAGACCACCTCTGTAGGTGACACACAATGAGCAGATAGTAAAGGGAACATACCTCGGTCATTTCTATAGACGTATGATCTTGGCCTGGAGGGGTCTTCTTTGCACCGGAAGTTGGGGACGAGTGGCCTGATATAAGGTTGATGCTGATCTCTGCCTGATCGCGGCATTGGAGGGTCTCTCCTTGTGTTGTCCCTATATTCACTCCTGGGATTGGATTGCACGAAGATGAGTCGTCGATTGGCCCATCGAGGTGTTCACCATCTGTCCTAACCTCGGTACAATAGTCATTATGGATTTGTCCTAATTCGGAACTCTTTCCCACGAGCACCCATGACTTTAAAATTTTAGATCCGTCACTGATCGAGAGTCTACCAGAAACAACCTCTTTATTCTTATAAGATAGGGGTAAAATTTGCGTACACACTACCCTCCTCAGATCCCAATTTCACTAGAGTTTTTTTTTGGTTGTTGTTATTGTTTTATGCTTCCTCGTTTTTTGTTTCTGCTGGTGTGTTTATATAGGTATTATAGAAGGAAACAAGAAGACAAGTTTTTGGGAGCACTACTAGAGCTTGTTTTTAAGTCATTTTTTAGCTTATTAAGGTGTTTGACAAACTTAAAATCTGCTTAAAGGTCAAATGCTTTTAAGCCAAAAGGTCCAAATTAAGCTAAAAGTGATAAGTTGGGTAATCCCAACTTTTTTTTTTCTAGTTTAAAAGTCATTCCTCTTTGACCAAGTATTTTACATTGTTATCCCTGATACTTATGTATAATTTCCAAAATACCCCAATCTTTACTTTTTCTCCTTTCCTCCGCCATTTTTAATCTTTGCCTTCCAAATTCCATAAT